GTAACAAATTAACAATAACTATAATCTATTATGAATTTAAATTTTCCATCCAATACACATCAATTTTAACATCATGTATAATTAATTTAGATTGGTGGTGGCTCAGGGATCGGTTGGGTAGGGTTAAAGGAAAAAAGGGAATTGAAATTGAGAATTACGCAATTCAAGAAAGTGAATGCAAAAGAGAATTAGGTAGAGATCTCAGGTAGGTGGAAAAGAATAGATTTTTTTTTTCCTAATTAAAATGGGTATCCCTTACGTGGCTTAATAAGGAGACTTGCATATAACTATTTTGTTTTAAGGTCATCTCCAATCGAGGACTGGTCAGAAGGCTTGTTTTAGCACTCTGGTCCTCCAAGAAATTAATATTTTAATGAACAGTACATGGCTATATTTGTCTCCGTCTCCAACCGAGAGCCAATGTAAGATCCCACATCGTCCAGGGGAGTGATCCTCCTTATATGTATATTCCCATCCCTACCTAGCATGAGGTCTTTTGGGAGCTCACTGGCTTCGGGTTCCATAGGAACTCCGAAGTTAAGCGAGAAGGGGGCTAGAGCAATCTTATGATGGGTGACCTACTGGGAAATTGCTTGTGAGTTCCCAAAAACAAAACCGTGAGGGAATGGTAAGCCCAAAGCGGACAATATTGTGCTACGGTGGTGGAAGGGGCCCAGGAAGTGATCCGCCTTGGGCCGAGATGTGACAACCAAAGGGCTATAGGGCTTGTTTTAGCCCTATCACAAAAAACCATCTCCAACCGAGGGCCAAAGGCCAAACATAATTTAATATTTAAATTTAAAAACTACAAACTTAAATTCAAATTCAACAACTTAAATTTAAAAACTACAACGATAACTAGCCCAAAAAACCAAAAACATTAGAACTTAAATTTAATGAATGGTTTAGGTATTGATAATAATAATAATAAAATAATAAAAGAATTTTTTTAAGAATTTAAAAAAAATTGGCCCAAAAAAAAAAAAAAAAATTTGAATACAACGACTAGCTAACTAGCCGTTGTATTCAAATTTTTTTTAAGCAATCTCTATTTTCTAGCCAGCCCTCTAGCCCTCTCGATTTTGTGGGCCTTCTGAGATTCCCCAGCCCTCTGACCTAGCCCTCGGTTGGAGACGGTTTTTGAGCTATTTTCGGCCGTCTAGCCCTCTGGACCCTTCGGTTGGAGATGACCTAAATGGCTTGGCCCAAATGGATGTCGTTTTGGCCAAGTCTTCTAAAACACAGAATAGTTTTCTTCTCATTTGTTAAACATTTGCAGAACCTCAGCCACTTGTTCGTAGCTGCACTCTTCTCCTCCACCACATGCCCAAACTCGAGTAGTCCTCAAAGGTCTTCACAACCACTTATCCGAGTTTCTGTGTGGCCCCATACCACCTAGCTCCCTTAAGGCCATCTCCAACTGAAGGCTAGTCAGATGGCTCGTTTTAGCCCTCTGACCCTCCAAGATATTAATATTTTAATGAACAGTACGGAGCCATATTTGCCTCCATCTCCAGTCGAGGGCCAAAGGGCCGTAGGGCTCGTTTTAGCCATGTCATCAAAAACCATCTCCAACCGAAAGCCTAAGGGTCATAGGGCCAAGCATAATTTATTATTTAAATTTAAAAACTACAACAACTTAAATTTAAAAAACTACAACTTAAATTTATGTTGTATAATTTTTATGTTGGTTAATGTTATTTAATGTTGTTTCATATTGTTTAATGTTGTTTCATGTTACTTAATTTAATTTAATGTTGTATAATGGCTTAAGAAGTTTTAGGAAGTTATAGGAAAAAAATGGAATTTAAAAATATGAAACAAATTTTGTAAAATAGAAGTTATAGGAAAAAAAATAGAATTTAAAAAAAAATATGAAACAAATTTTGTAAAAAATATGAAACAAATTTTGTAAAAAATATGAAACAAATTTTGTAAAATAGAAGTTATAGGAAAAAAAATAGAATTTAAAAAAAAATAAGAAACAAATTTTGTAAAATAGAAGTTATAGGAAAAAAAATAGAATTTAAAAAAAATATGAAACAAATTTTGTAAAATAGAAGTTATAGGAAAAAAAATTGAATTAAAAAAAATATATGAAACAAATTTTGTAAAATAGAAGTTATAGGAAGTTAAAGAAAAAAAATAGAAGTTATAGGAAATTTTTTTTGTAAATAAATAAAACTATAAAAAAAAAAACAAATTAAAAAATGACAGCTAACTGACGTTAGTTAGCCGTTGTATTCAAAATTTTCCCAACTATTCGTATCAGGTATAACCAATACTTTTGCTCTTATTCATGTCGATTATATCCGATAGTTTTAAGCAAAAATTTTGACCAGCCTGGAGCTGGCTGACTGGCTGGAATGGGCTAGTCCTTTGGCCCTTTCAGATTTAGTGGGGCCCACGAGCCATTTGGCCTAACCCTCGGTTGGAGACGATTTTTGAGCTATTTTCGACCCTCTGGCCCTCTCGACCCTTCAGTTGGAGATGGCCTAATGAATCCTCCACTTGTTGGGCAATCTGAGTGGCCGAATTAGATGGAGCTAGCGTTTGGTTCGTCGAGATGCAGATTGCTGAAATAAGTAGCATCAACGCGAATGCAACGACTTGGACAGTTTATGTGGACTTAAAAAAAGCCCAATTTCATTTCTTTTTTCTAAGTCAATGCTCAACCTTCTTTTAAGACAACTTTGGGTTCAGCTTTTCCAAGAACAGTCTGGGCTTGGGTTTAGAATTTTATTTGGTAGAACAAACTTATGGATCAAAATGTGAGCCAGACAAGTGCGATGTAAGAGTAAAATTTATGATCGGTTGCTGAACTTTCATCCTAAGTCGTATTTGATTTTTGAGCTAAAAGTTTGTTAATTGAGATTCCCGAGTTTAATAAAATGTACATTAGTAGTTTCTTCGTGAGATTTTTCGTCAATTTGATTAGATGGCAGAACATAACACCTATAATAAGTGATGGTGGGTTTTAGATTCCATGATCAGTCACCGCTAGAGCATAAGATTAGTGTATTTTCCCATGCAAAACCTATATTCTCGCATTTGTGTTCAAAAGTGATGGTGGGTTTTAGCTTTCATATTTTCTCCTCCGACGAAAAATTTAAATTTGGTTTTAACTTTTAACAATGAGGTGTGTACATTTGACTAATTAGCCTCTAGCCACAGGTCATGTTAAACCAATGCGTGCAATACACCAGTGTCTAAACAGCTAGAACGAGACTCAAAATCTAGTCATGCAAATCCAGTCAACCAATGTGTTGATGAATCTCATATACCTGCGCATTGTAGAATTTTAATATATAAGACCGGGATTTCGGTGATTGATCTGAAGGGTGTGCATCTGTTCAGTTGTCACTCAATTGTCACTAACTCAGTGTTTACCTTGGAGACAGATTTCCAACCCATTCAACCTTTAGCCGATCTACAGTTTCAAGTTCTGGTCAATTACAATGAGAGAGGTAAAAACTTTTACCCCACAATTACTTATGATTTACTTATTTACTTTTTAATCACATCCCATATAAAAATGATGCGTACTTTCTATCAACATAAAAAAAAAAAAAATGACCACAAGATCATCATCTTACAATGAATTTGGAGGGCTAGGATTTGGGAAAGTGGAAAAGGATGTTAAAGAAAAAAAATGAGACGATCCCTAACCAAACCAATGCTGGGAACAAAGATGACGGAGAAGAATAATGAAGAGGGGAAGGAGGACCAAATAAACGAAACTAAAGTGTAAACCGATTCCAAGATAATTGACAAATCATTCTATTAATCCTTTCAGTTTCTAGGATTCGGATTCATTCCACTGCTTTGTGAAATGAAGCAGCTCAATTGATAAATTATGTTTGTCTAGGTCGCTTGTGGAGAGATTTTTCAGTGTCTGGAACACGGGACAGAACATCACATTGTTAGGTTTTTCCAGCCCATGATAAATTGTCGTAAGTCTATTGGGAATTAATAGTCTTCGAGGATTAAATTGTTTTCCCAATTGGAGTTAGTTTCTCAATTGGAGAAAGATTCATAACTAGATTCCAATTTGAATTAATAATCCTTATTTAAGAAGACTTTTATTATGTCTATGTAAAGGGGCTCTTGTACTAGTTTTGAATAAAGAGCAAAACAATAAATGGTATACCACCCATGGGATTAGAGTACGAGAGTATTGTAAAGTATGCGAAAGAAAAGAAAAGAGAGAAGTGTATTTCTTGTTCTTGTTTTTTCAGGTTTTTTTGTCAAGTCTTAATTATGGAAACTTGGTAAGATTATTGATTATACTCATTATTGATATAATGAAAGATTGTTGTTGTTGTCTCCTGTGGACAAAGGCACATATTGTTGAACCACGTAAATTCTTGATGGTATTTTATCTTGCTTATTTGTTTTCGATTTCTTGAGTTTCTCATTCTTAAACACGATATTCTCAACACACGTCATTGTACAATGGGAGGAAAGATTTTTATTTTTTCTTCAAGTGTCGCTCCAATTGTATAATAACATGGGATGTTCCGCTTCGTGTTCCCATCACATTGAAAAATCTCTTTCGCTTGTGATGCCTACAACATGAAAAGAAGCAAAAACGTAGGAAAGGACATGATTTTTGATGCAGAATTCATTACCTAGTCCCTACTTTCAGAGTCTGACAAGACAGTTCTATAAACAAAATACGAAGGGTTTAATACACATCTATACAACTTGGGCTAGATTTAGAGTTTTTCTGGTTAAGCATAGAAGCAGATCTAAAGGGTTGACAATAAAATGAGTACTATGTACTTTTCAACGGTTGAGGGACCTGGTCTACCATGAGCATCGCTGATAACAATTTCTTCTAGTTACACATGATCAAAGCTGAAAAAGCTGTATACCCCAATGTCAAGCTTTTGAGCGTTGAATCGAACTGACAGGGTTGGGAAGCAAGGGCAGTTTATATGCCTGGATATCCAAAAAGAAAAGTACAAGGTATGCAGGTTTTCCACATAATTAAAGGATTAACAGAGGCAAGCAATCTTATAGAGAATTATCCCAAATGACTGCTAGCATAAGAAGTTCACTAGTTTATTTACAATGGAACTATGAAAGCGGCCTACTATTAGTACAAGTAGTGTACAATGATTTGCCATGCAAATTGAAAGCCTACGATCCTTCGGTTAAGGGAGGATCATTATACTGAAAATCTAAAACCAAATAAATCAAGCACATAGCGGCGGAAGTTGCATAATCACACCTCAACAAAATCAAAGGACAAAGGTTACGGCAAAAGGTGAATACTTCCTAGAGTCTGCACTGGGAACGGCATTTAAAGAGGGGGGGGGGGGGGGGGGGGGAATAAAACAAAAGTTACAGAGCACATACAAGATTGTGTTTGGTGAACTGAAGAAGATGCTTTCAGTTCAGTCTTCTTCTTCGGTGGGCACGAGAATCTCCACTGTCCATGTCCGAAACTCTTGACGAATCATTTCTTCTTCTGGAAGACGAAGTGGAAAGGGAAACCATGGAATCAATTTCCACAGCTGTGTCCAGTTGGCTCTCTGAATTTATAACTGCCGCAATACTTGAGAAAGAATCTCTATCATCAACTGGTGCAGGCTGCTGTTCTTGATTTCTACCTGGAGGTGTAGGATGGTTACGATAAAATGACTCAACTAACCTTTCAGCAGAACTCAATGCAGACGAGAGAGAAGATAGTGTTGCTCTGTGCGATTGTGTCCTTCTAAGTAGCAAGGACTGAAGTTGGTGGTTTTCCCTTGTTTCAAGGCCAGACATGTTGCTTTGCGTTATATCCACAACATCATCTGCAACTGCCACTGGATTTTGCTCTCTGCGCAGTCCTCGAGATGTCAGAATCCTATTTAACAAATTAGCTCTTTCTGCTGTTTCCCGGGCATTCTCAGGCTCTGATGGATGAATAACATCCCGAGTCAAATCAAATCTGTTACCAAGACGGCGAATCATCTCCTCTACTGGAAAAGTTAATGCACTCCTCTGAATGCTTTGTCTCAAACTTTCAACCCGACGTGCATGAGGCCTAAGAGGGATCTTAAGATTTGAGTCGTCATCTGGCTCACGCACATTGTTTCCACGACCATAGATTGGGGTGACATTCTTCATTGTTACCTCTCCCTTACAAACAGGGCATTCCTTTGCATCTTGCACATGTAACCAACGGTAAATGCATGGCCAACAAAACAAATGACCACAACAAGTTACAATAGGGTCCCTAGCCAAGTCCAAACAAATATTACAATCGAAAAAGCTCCCATCACTGCCACCGCCCTTTTCAACATCATCCTTATTCACAGAATTCTCATTTTCCAAAATCCCGTTGTTATTTTCGCATGTCTTGGAGGCGTCACTCGTTCTTTCTTCTGCAGTAACACTACCCTCACCAGGTTGTAATGTACTTGAATTACCAGAATTGACCATCAGTTCATTCAACTCCATGGAAATGTTCCGCCCTTCAGGTGGCGACCATGTCCACTGCCGCCTCACAGCTTCAGCAATTCTGTGAAAAGGCGAATCAATCCAAGTATCCAAATTTACAGGCTCATTCAACATCGAGCCGACATCAGGACCAGGAGCCAGATTCAGGTCAAGGTTCATTGCATCAGATGTCTCCTCACCCATCACAAATAGACCCAAAAGGCTTATTAGATCACAAATTTAACAAACCCAGATCAGAAACCCTAGCTTCATCACAAAACTGAAGAAACCCAAATCACAGAACCACAAAAAGTACCCAAACTGAACAACATTTGGCGCACAGTTCAAAAAACCCTAATCGTAATTAAAAATACGAACAAATCCGTATGAAACCCCATAAAATTGAAGAAACCGAGGTGGGAAAAAACCCTAATGGGAGCGAACCAAAATCGGAAACTTCATCCCCAACATAGAAATCAGCAAGTCAAGTTACGATTAGGCCATCAAGTTGGCGACTTTGATGCATTTCTACCATGCTATCAATTTCTAGGAGGTAAATTTTAGGGTTTCAGAAGCAAAGAAAACGAAATACTAAAGAAAATAAACCCCTGGGTCATGATTAAACACCTGGAGTGAGCTCGAGAGCGAGTTGGCGACCGCCTGAGGTGAGTCTGGCCCGAGTCGACTCGGCATGAATGACCCTCTTTTTCTAATCAGCGATCTAGTCCACAGAGAGAGGGATTAGATGGATAAGTGTGGGCAATGAATTTAGGACCGGGCACTGGGGCAGGAGAGAGAGAGAGAGAGATGATCCTTTAGAGTCAAGGCTTTGTTTGGGAAGTTGATGATTGTGATGAACGGCTGTGATGGAATGTGTGGACCAGCTTGTCCTGCAAATTCCTTGCGTTGGCGTTTAGAGTCAAGGCTTTGTTTGGGAAGATGACGATTGTGATGAACGGCTGTGATGGAATGTGCGGACCAGCTTGGACTGCAAATCAAGTGGCTCAAATTGAGTTTCCACTAGGCATTACTTTGGGCACCAGAATGGAACTTTCAAGTTCCTTCAACTGACTTTGGAACAACTTAAGATGATCATGTCTCAGGCATTATAAGAAAATCAAATGAATTGAATTGAAGAATCGAAGAAAATCAGTTGACAGAAATTAAGAAAAAATGTGTGAAGTAAAAATATATGTGTGGATAGCACACTCCCTTAAATAATCCCACCCAAGTCATTTCCAGACATTGGGCTAAAACAACCATGGGGTGAAAATAATTATTTGGGCCAAATTGCACCTAAGAATTAAGCCTGGCTTAATTCACTTGGATCCACCCATGTGCATGGACATGCGCGTCTGACCCCCAAACGCCCCACACTCAAACGCAGGAGACACGCCGCACTCCAGACGGAAGCATAGTAGGGCCCATGTAGTCAGGCATGTTGGCCACTCTTGAGTAGAGCCACCGACTCCTTGGTTGACCAACGGCCCAAATAAAATATGAATGTTGGTTGATCCAACCGTTATATTTCCAATTCTTTTATTTATTTATTTAGGGTATTGTTATTAGCATTTTAAATTTCTCATTTTACACTTCAAACTTTCTATATTTAGAAAGAAAACTACATTTGTGAGGAGTGTAGAATGAGATTTTTGAAGTGCTAATAACACTTCCCTTTATTTATTTATACTTATAAGTCTATGGCTGTGATTGAAGGAGATCAAATCTAATAGTTAAAAAAAAAAAAATTACCCAGTGACGTAAATTTTAATCTAATAGCTAAAATCATCTAGCGACCAATTATTAGAAACACTCAACAAACAAAAAAATAAATAAAAATAAATAAAAAGATTTAACCAATTATTATCCGAATGGGCTCGAAATTAGTGCAACCATGGATCAAACGTGGACACCGTTGTCATGTTATTGGATCGTATAGTTGGGCCATATGTAGGTTTTACAAGCCTGGTAAGTTAATAATTGGTTAAATTATTAGTTACCACTCCTCTTTAATTAAAAACAAAAAAGGAAAAAGGCAAATATTACGAAATATGCTTAGATGTGCTCCACAGTGTTTATATTATTGCTTATTGGATCGTATAGTTTGTAACACAAAACCTTCATCTATCAAATATAATTATGACCCAATTATGGAACTAGATGTGCTCCACTCATGCACTCATGACTTTAACCTCCATTGACATTCTTACAATCCAACCTAATCTCCCCACTGGTTCCCACTAGTGGACTGATATTTCCCATATTGATCATCGACCTGAGCAAAGCTCTCAAAGAAGGCGCTCTGGTTGCTACTAAAGCTATTAACAATGGAAACTGTGGCAGCCCCTGCCGTCGAAAATAACTCTTGATCGGATTGCAAAAGGCCTTGATTGTTTTGAAGGTTTGTGAAGTAGTTGTTGTCAAACGCATCTGGAGTGCTGAGATCGAGGTTGGCTAGAGCAGTTCCGCTCCCATTTTGTGGACATGTTTGTTGGAGAGTGGTCAAGTAAGATGAGTTCAGTGTTGGATCGGGGTTTCCTGTGCTGTTGAAGTTGTACAATCGATTGCTAAATGTTCGACATTGAGCTCGTCCAAATGTATGTGCCCCTGCAAAACATGATGAAGTATTAATAAAGGGTTAATTAACATGTAATGTAAATAGTAATTAAGTAGAACATTGGTGATTAAGCAACATAGTTACCAGATAATGCAACGAGGTCGTTGGTGTTCAGGCCAACAGCAGAAAACTTGGAAGTAATGTTTGCTAAGCTTTCAAAAGGTGAAGGAATAGAGGTATTGGCTCCAGCCTGGTTTGCTGTTAGGCTGTCTCTTCTCCCTAATAATACATTCCATGAAGGGCCTCCTGACTGCAAAGTAATTACGTCATTCTCATGAACTACGGACGTACTATAACATCTATGCGAGGCCATTTGATTAGCTCAAAGGGTTTTGGTTTATACTCGATTCTTATTCACAACCCTAGCGGTGAATAAGATAACAATTCAATTCTCTCCAATGTAATTGAAAAAATTTCGACAAAAAAAATGTAATTGAAAAAAAAAAATCCATAAAGACTCCCCCCCCACCAAACTCATTTTCTCTAGCGTATAACCCTTCATATTATATTTTTTTCGAAGGATAATGCTAGAGAGACCAAATTTTTTAAACTAAATTTGCAAACCAAATGATGTGATTATTGATAATTGAATTATAACTTAACAGTTGATTAACATGTTTATTTTTTATTTGTGACACATCATTTGGTTAAAAAATTTGGTCTCCCTAGCATTACTCTTATCCGAATTAAACCTATTGATAAGGATCTAACTAAGCAACTTTCCAAATTAAGTTTGTGTGTTAGTTTTTATATTTTTTGGATCCCTAATGTACCCCCATCTAAGCTAATGTGGAAAGGTCTTGTAATTACGTTTTAACTGAACATGTGCGTTGAATTTGGCAAGGTCTTGTAGCCATGAAATCTGGTTCTAGATGTACAATTTAATTTTTTTTTTTAATTCCAACATTAAATTTCAATTTGAATATACCTAATTTAGTGTTTAATTTCAACAATATCTATTGTTTAATATTATAAAAAAAAATTACGTAGAGTATAATTAATTATATGAAAATCATTTACCAACAGCATAATTATATGAAAATAATGTATCTACTATGAAATTAACTTACCTTCTGTTTAATTATTATGAAAATAAAGTACCTATTTTTTATTGTTTACAAAGTTAATGTATGTACTTTTTTTAATTTTTAAAAAAGTTACTTTACCTAATTCACTTGTAAGTAAGAAGTTTAGGTTCAATTCTCGTCAAAGTAAGATTTGAACCACATTATTGTTAGCTCATTGTGAGGCTAAGCCTGCCTCCTCTCCAATTTAGTGTAGATAATATGGTTTGTTAAAAAAAAAAAAAATTATCTACGTCATTTTATGGTAGTAATAATAATAATAAAACATAAATAGTACCTAACGAAAACTGACCACACAATATACGACAAATGACTAAGATGTGAAGATCCTTAGGATTCTGGATTTGGAGAAGATCCTCATCCTTTGGGGAGTTCACACAAAATCAAAATATATTAAACAGATTAAATGTTTGAAAGCACGAATAAGAGATTTGGTGGCATGATTTTGTAAATAAACACAACTTCATGGACATCTTTTATCTAACATGACATCATATTCAAAATGCATTTTAGCCAATAGTCCCTGAGGTTGACATAACTCCTCACTTTGATCCCTGAAATTTGAAATCAATAGAAGTGATTCCTGAGTATGTTCACCATCAATCACCTTGGTCATTCTATAAAAAATCTCTGTCAAATAAGGACCGAAATAATAAAAATACCCTTAATTTAATAAACAATGGGTCAAAATGATTTGACAAAAATCAAGGGTACTTCTATCCTTTCCCTTTACTTAATTGATATTTTTCACTTAATGACCAAAATGATTGATGGTGGACAAACTCAGGGACTAGTTCTATCAATTTTAAATCTCAGTGACTAAAGTGAGGAGTTATGCCAATTTTAGAAATCATTTTGACTAAAAAAGCCTATTCAAAATTTGAATTTTACATAAAAGTGATATAATATATGTGAATTTTTGTTTGGAGTTTATATGTGAATTTTTGTTTGGAGTTTAGGAGTTGCAACGGCCTAACGTAAACAACCTCAATGAATTTCGATTTCCCCTCCAGCTGTAGTGAAGGATATTTTGTTTGGTTTCCTTATTTAAAACGCAACCCCCTCTAGCAAATTGGATGAGCTTTTAGTTTACAACCGAAACACCTTTGATCAAGACATATTGGAAGGGTTTCAATTTCTCTAAATGTGCAAATTGTGAAGTCTTTTTCTTAGGAGCTACACACACACACCCCCTATTTATTAAAAAATGGGCAACATATATATGCCTTACTGACTCACCAAAGAAACAGAAGCTTCAGCCGCAAGCGCAAGAAGGTCAGCACAAGATACAACACCTGGGCATGAATTTTCCAGAGCAGTCTTGATATTGTCAACCACATCAAAGCCTCGAGTGGAGTTGGTGTTTGGAGCTGCATCTTTCTCACTCTGTTGTATGGTTCCATTTTTGTCCAATAAGATTGAAGCATCACAACCCTGAAATCACATCACAAACTAACAAATTTGAGTTCTATATGTATAAATTATTGCTACAAGTTTTGAGAAAATTTAGTACTATAGATAGTATGATGTTTACATTGACGAAGCAATCATGGAAATGGAGACGAATAAGGCTTGCACCAATCCTCGAATCAGATTGCAAAGCTTGTTGAACCGTACTGCGCACAATGCTTGTCACGTTTGGACAGGTGGTGGAGTAAAATGTAGAGTTCAGTTGAGCATTATAGTTAGGTACATGTAGCAGAAGTAAAACTACTACATATGTGGTTGCTAATGCCAAGGAGTGAGTAGTTGAAGAAGAAGAAGACGACATTTGATTTGTGTGCTACTTAATCAGTACAATGGGTTGCAATATTAGTGGCTAATAAGGCAACTAATTTATAGAAGAGTGTGACATCATTTAAAATTAATTATAGACAAGAAAGTCAAAAAAGGTGATTAAAAATGTTTAACGGACACTGAAAGTCACCTTGCATGTCGCCTTGCACGTCGTGGAGCTTCAATCAAATCTTTGATAGGAGTCAAGATCTACGTTTCTAATATAAAAAGCAAATGTTGTCTATGCTTGGTGGAAAACAATCACGTTTATGCATCATGTGTCGATTCAATTTCCTCTTAATTTTTCTTTTCTTAACACTTTACTGTCTAACCCAATAATGCTATTAATCTACTAAAAATATATATAAAAAGCAACTACTACTATGTTGATATGGATTTACTCATCCTTATTTATATTTATTTTGTTACATATACATTAGTTGCTAGTTTACTAATTTATGGTTACAATTGAAGTTGTTTATTAAATTTGTGGCATTTGTGTATATTTTAGTTCTTTGAATGAACTTTGCTTTACCAAAAAAAAAAAAAAAAAAAACTCTTTATTCTAAGGCATAGTTTTATATGCTAGTTAACAGTGATGTTGAATTTTAAGAAATTATGTGAGAGCATTGCATTCTCCTCCTTCTTTCTCACAAAGAATTCAATTCATCCAACATGAGGAGCTGAATTCCTTTTTCCTTGTGAGCCCCACTTTCGTTTTGATTCGTCCCTAGTTAGTAAACATAGAACACTCTGTGATCAAAATCTAACTCCAATTTTGATTTTGATTACAAATTAATAAATTTCATCATGTGTGGATAAATTTTAGGGGATGTGACTTTTATAGATTAGGATTCTTCCCCCTCCTCTTTCTATCCCCTTTCATCCCCTCATCTCATACTCTCTATTTTGTATTTCTCTTTCTATAAAAAATTAATATAAGATATTGACGTAACTTAATCGTGACCGTTTAAATAGAAGGAGAGGAGAGAGAATCTTTCTCCGACTTTTATATTTAATTGCTGGCAAAAAAGTGAAATAATCCCCACTGTGTTAATTGATGCATGTTTGACAAATGAGAGGCTGGAGAGCCGCTTTGACTGTCGGATGATGCTTAATAATTCTCCGCGATCAGAGCGACGTAGGGTATATATGGTGGGTTCATTCCTACCATAATTCCAGAACAGGGAATATATTTTGCACACAAAGTAACATGAAATTAATCAAAATTCTAAGAATTTGAAAAAAATAAAAGGTTTTTAATCTCAGTCAATACCAGCTGGTCTCTTTTGGCATTATACATACACGTGGGTTGGTGAGAATTGTTATTACTTTACAGCTAACCATATTTTAATGAGATTGATTGGCCAAATTTGTCAATCAAATGGTGTTGTATATATGGAATTAAGATTCTAGCCATATTCTTTTTGTAGGGATTTTGAGAATCAATCAATTGTATTTATTCATCGTACATCGTGTATTTAGAAATCATTTAAAATTAAATATAAACTGTATCTAATGAAAACTGGTCGCATGATGTACGATGAACGGACACGGTGGATTAATCCTCAAAATCCCCAGAAAGAGAATCCGGAGAAAATCCTCATCCGTATATATGCATGTCAATGTCTATCTAGAAATATGAGGGTTGGGTAATATTATGTTTATGTGATAGGAAGAAGATCCTCGCCAGATTCTTTTTCTGGGGATCCACTGGTCATGACCTTTCCTCGTACATCGTACGGTCAAAAATCATTTTAAATTTTAAATTTTAAATTAAATATAAATATTACCTAACAAAAACTAATCGCACGATATATGATAAACGATTATAATCACGGGATTCCCCGAATTCCCAAGAAAAAGATTCGATGACGATCCTTTTCCAATGTGATAGGGTCAATGTATATATAATTATATATACAAGTACAAATAATTTAAAGTTTTTGGGAATTATAAGACTTGGCCCAATAAAATTCTAACTAGATTTTTTTACCATAAACTTGGCGGCCTAAGAAAGCAAAGGTTAGACTGAAATAGTGGAAAGCGAGGTTCCAAAAGAACATTGGTGAGAATATCTGCAAGTCGATCAACAGGGGGAACACATTGTTCCTTGTGAGGCCAAGCTTGACACGTTCTCGAACGAAATAACAATCCAACAGACTGTAGGAGGTAAAATGAAATTATGTGAAGAGAAATGGAGCATATTTTAGAATAAGATGATATTAGCACAAAAGAATGACATTAATGATGACATTAGTTGGAGTTTCTCTGGTCATTTGCCAAAAAGTTTAGGGTTTGTTCTGTATACTACTTGAGTTCAACTTTTTAAATTCAAAAACACGTTTTGAGTTTTAGGCTTTAAATTCTTGTTTGGTCTGACTCTCTCTAAAAATTAGATTCAAAACTAACTTAAAAATATAAGTTATTTCTTAAAAACACTAAAATTAAGTTTTTAGAATTTTTCTGTGTTTTTTGCTTTCTTTCCTCAAAATCCTTCTGCTTTTTCTCCTCACCCTCTTTCTTCTCTTCTCACGTCCTCACTCTCTCTCTTCTCTCTCACTCTTCACTTCTTTTTCTGCTCTCTCGTAACCCTCTCTTTCTTCTGTCTCCTCACTATCTTTATCTACTCTCTCTCATCACCGTCTCTTTCTTCCCTCTCCTCACGACCTCGCCCTCTTCCTGTCTTTCTCTCTCCTCATCCACTATTTCCTCTCAAACGATCTTCTCTCATTTCCAATTCTATCTCTCATCCAATTTCTGTTCAAGTTAGTTTGAATTCAAACAAAAAAAATATTTAAAAAAAAAATTAACCAAACAGGTTTTTGAATTTTTTATTTTAGGGCATTCTTTGAAAAATGTTTTTAAGAATAATTAAAGTTTTTTTAGTAGAATACTAAATGAGCCTAGTTTCTTGCGAAAATATGATTAAGGTAGGCTTTTTATATTATTAGTAGCATATATAGCCAAAACTTATCCTTCAATTTCAAAAAGGATTATGATTTTCACACATCATTTACTACTTTTCTCACACATCTCCATATTTTTTAATACTTAATTTGTATTCTACTATTTAATCTTCCAAATATACCCCTCTCTATTTAATCTTTCATTAATTACCATATGGAAGATTAAATAGTAGGATACCAATTAAGTATTAAAAAATAGGAAGGGGTGTGGGAAAAGTAGTTAAGGGTGTGTGAAAATCACAACCCTTTCAAAATGTCTATTTTTATAAAGAGAATTGTTATTAACACTCTAAAAATCTCATTTGGCACTCCAAACTTTCTATAATTAGAAAGAAAAATATACAGAAGTGTAAAATAAGATTTTTGAAGTGCTAATAACAATTCCCTTTCTAAAAACTATCAATTATAACAGAAATGTGCTTGAATAGACTTAAATACTCAAAACTTAAAAACCAAATTACACTATACAACAAAAATCCTTGAAGTTCCCATACTATTTGGTTGTCACCGAGAAACACTAACTTGACAACTGGAAAGTAAGCTTCACCACCATGGAAATATCTAAAATACTAACAATAGCCACCGCCTCTTTCATGGGTTCTAATTCCCCCAACTTGGTACGGGTAATTTGACTAAAACCTTTGAATTCTAAAGAAACTCCCATATGATTTTGATTGGAGCTCTTTGGCTTGTTTTACTGATGATTTCATTTAATTATTCTAACTGCTATATGAGTTGTCATTGATGTGGGTTTTCTTAATTTTCTTTCCACCAAAACTTAATCATCTTCGCGGAATCCAGTTGCCGACAATATTTCCAGTGATAAGCCATAAAATTCAGTTGCTTTGTATGTTGTATAGGTGGGTATTGGATCAAAGGAAACTTTTTACTTCTTCGCTAGCATTAAAGAAAGCTACGATTGGAATTAATAAGTTCACCGTTCATATACACCAATAATAATTTTTACTCAATGAATCCAGATCCATTCATCAGCTTACAAAAGTTGCATATTTTTTTGTTGTTGGTGAATGAATCGGCAAAAGTTGCATACTTTTGTCTCAGAGGATTCAGACTTTAAGGTTTATATTGTTCTTTATTTTCAGGGTATTTGAATTTTTTCGAATGTAGTTTCGGCTAAATTTGAAATTATTTACAAAAATTGACATTTATGAAAGAATAATATTTGACTATTCAAAGATGAGTAGGAAGTCCTACTCAAAATTTCTCAAAATTGTTCATTATCAATTTATAGAAGTTCATGTTTATAATCAAAATCGTTCATATTATAAATCACCATATACAGATTGCATCTGTAAAAAATCAATTAAAACTAAGGTCGTTTAGTCATCAAAATGTTTAAAAACAAATGAACGGTATTGGTAAAAGCATTACGAACAGTGACATCCCACATCACCCAGGGATGTGATCCTTATATGTATATTCTCATCCCTACTTAGCACGAGGCCTTTTGAGAGTTCATTGACTTCGGGTTCCGTAGGAACTTCGAAGTTAAGCAAGAAGGGGGCTAGAGCAATCCTATGATGGGTGACCCACTGGGAAGTTGCTTGTAAGTTCCCAAAAACAAAACCGTGAGGGAATGGTAAGCCCAAAGCGGACAGTATCGTGCTACGGTGGTAGAGCGGGCCCGGGAAGTGATCCACCCCAAGCTGGGATGTGACACGAATAATCTATGTATTTGCTACAATAGATTGACTAAACGGTCTTAGTTTTAATTTATTTTTTGCAGAAATAATTTTTACAATGTGATTCATAGTACGAGCGGTTATAATCATAAGCACAAAGCTCTGTAATTAAAACACTAAGTATTAAATTTTGGCCATTTATGATAAGTACTCATCTCGTACAATGCTGAATATACCCCACATTAAAATTTAATATTAAATGACTTCTATACCCTTCTATACAACAACAATTTCGACCTTCTAAAGGTTTTAAAAAACATAAAAACCCCTCTCACCCTCCTCCTCCCCCTCCCCCCCCCCCCCCCAACCAAATTATAGAACAAAATCCTAACCAATAAAACTACAAACATGTTGATTGAAAAACATTATTTTTTACTAAT